CTGCTGAACAAACATGCAAACATGATCGTACCGTTAATCAATTTTACATATTTGCGGGTATTGCGGAATGTATGCTTTTTTCTGAGAACTTTTGACGCAGCGTTATTTCAATTTTCATGCTTTCGTGTATTCCCCTTTCACTCAGCATTGGCAAACAGAGATTTTACTTTTCACTTTTCATATAATCTGCGAAAATTGAACTTTAAAGATAATTTTGTTTTAAAAATTGAAAATTATGTTCCAGTAAAAAAAATTCCAGCTGCAGAAAAAATTATATCATCAATTAGCACTTAGTGTTTCTTTAATATAATATGATTCCTACACTTAGATCCAGCGAAGAACTAAAGGCAAGAACTAATCATATTAAAGAATTCTACTAAGCACTATAACTGCAGATTAGTTTTCTCTGCTGAAAACAGCCAGTGTGAACCCAGTGAGAAATGACCATTAATTGTTAGACATCGAATCGACGAAATTATTATATTAATGTTGACATCAATTCGACGAGTCATTTTTCGTTGGAAAATTCGTTTAAAATAGTAAAACGTTTTCATTTTCAAGATTTACTAGAAAATTAACTATATGTATTATATACGATCTTTGCGGAATATTGGACACGAGCTAAGTTCACAGTTTAATTAACTTGCAAACAAATGAAAATCGAAAGCGGACATTCGAATTATATGTTTTAGTAAATATCACAAGGCGCGAAGGACTCGGAATTAGAACCATATCAAATTCAAATGATGCACTGCAATGTTTCCGGGTTTTAAATCTCTTCGTGGCTGCAATAACTATTCTATTCATTTCATTTTTAGGGGTACATTTTACAATCCAAATGTCACGCGTATTGTCCACTTTCATGTCCACGCGATCGTTGCTGCATGGCAATAACGGCGGGAAAGTTTTTTTTTTCTTTAAAGCAAGGCTCTTCCAATATTCCGTATTTTTTTTTTTTTTTTTAAGAAAAGGTCCTTTCCGCATCGAGGACGGAAGAGTTTTTGAGCATCACTTGAAGTATCATGATCGGAAACACGTCTCCACGCCCAAGCATGGTCCTCTTCATCGAAGAGGGGGAGAAAGGGAGGGAACGAATGGTTCACGAAACGTACAGCGTCTTCGTGACGGGCGAGACCCATCTCTCGAAAACGTTGTTCACCGGGTGGTAAAAGTACTGACACGACGTGTCCTCCTTGTGTATATATAGGGGTGCCTGCCAATAAGGTACTGCAGTTCTTTGTAGAACGTCTGCAAGACGACATCATAGTGGATATCCGTCTTTTTGACGTTTCTTTGGTGGAAACATTCAACCGCTCAATCATTGCAATCGATTACAAGAAAAAAAGGTAAGTTTAGCAAGAAAAGCACTCGATTGCAAGTAATCGTGTCAGGTAAATTGATTTAACGTATAAATAATTTTATGCAGTTCAGATTATATTTTGAGGATTTATAATAAGAAGTTAGATTACACCAAGATTACATCATTCTATGTAAAATATTAAATTTTAAATTATTACAAAGTAATTTTAATCAATGTAATTAAAATTTAAAAAATTGTAACATTATCTAACATTCAGTAAAATTATTGAGAATGGATTCTGCATAATCAATATTATATTCTAACATTATTATTTGCAAGTAAAATAATATTTACTGGCACTAGTTGAAGTATTTATGTCACACAAAAAATAAGGCTGATTGAGCGTAAGGTACCACCCTGTATAATATTGGAATCACGAAACCGGTTTGAGAGATGCTTCTTCATGAAAGTTCGGATATTTAAATCCACAGATATATATATATAATATATATATATATATATATAACAAAGAAAGCGCTAATGATTACGATAGGATAAAGATAAATTTCTTCTAATTAAAACAGATCATGGTGATTACGTTCATGCACATTAATTTCATATTTCTTTAGTGATTGTAGCGTAAAAAGAAGAAAAATGATAACATTCGTACTTCTTGCTGTTTTGATGACGTTGTCCTCTGCCCAATTTCAACCACAACCCAACGGTCGAATTCTAGAATCACCGAATCCAGCACTTTGCGCGCAGAGTAAGTTCTATATTTATATATGTTAATATTATTAAAAAGGGGAGCATAAAGGTCAACGCAAGTTTTTTTATAGCGGAAACATTTATATAACATAAATTTCATAACAAAAGAATATAAACGTTTCGACCATATTATTTGCGATTTTTTAATTCAAATGTATTAGTTATAAGATATCGGATAGTGTATCAAAATAATAAACCATATCTAATTAAATTATATCGCTTACTTCTCGCACATTTATACATTATTATTTTAATCAAGCTCTAGCTAAGCAACATGAAAATAACTTCTAAAACATTAAAAATTTTTTAATTATCCTTTGTATATCCTTTAAATTTCTATATTGCTTAGAAATGAGAAAGAGAGAGAAATGAAGAAAAAATGTCGTGTAAAATTAGTTTTTTTCACATTGTTTAAAAATTCAAAATAATTAATTCGATGCTGTTATTATTCTCGGTTGATAGAGGAAATTGCTATTGCCATTATTAATTTTATGCTACTAGATTGATCGTAAAAATCATCATTTAAAGTACCTTTGTTGAGATGACTTCCACTAAGGTAAATAATATGTTCCCACGATGCTTAAAGATCCACACTGGAGAGAGTCTTCCTCATTCCTGTTTCCCTCGACAATTGACTGTTTATTCAAAAAAACCTCGAACTAGAGAAAGTATTTTCAATATTTGTTATTAAGAAGAGGCCATAATTCTATGACGGAATTCTTCTCCTACTTTGACTCTTTACTTCCTACTTTGCCTCAGTCCGCTTCGAGGTCATTGTTTATAACGCCACTCTCGACTCTTCAGCCATCCCCGTCTAACGCGTCTTCTTACATCTATCGTTAGTTAACATCATCACTAATTATACGTGACTATCCAACCTTACACCTCGCGTCTTTCTGGGTTCACGCTCGTTATAGAAAGTGTGACGATGACACCAACAGCAGTGTAACTCGAACGCATTTGAATTGGAAATGTCCTCGTCGTAAGTAGTACGGAATGTCGGTTGGCACTTTCACGTTCATCATTTTCAGTTGGGTCGAAGTGGTGATAATATATTGTTGTTAGAACATTCACGCTTATCTGATTCGGGGGGAATGGAAAATCTTTGGGAACCAGTTCTCAGGTTCTTGTAAGCTGCATTGTAAACCAAGATAATTCATAGATAAACGATTTATCAATCGAATTTTCCTCCTTTCCAAGAATGTACATCTTAAAATTTTTTGGAATTTCGGTTCCCAGATTTTGATCAGGATTAGGAAATCTTTTGGGAAACTTCCCGTTCCTAGATTCTGATGAGCTATATTATTAATCAAGATAATTCGTAGATAAAAGATTTATCAATCGAATTTCCTACTTTGAAGAATGTATCAAATATATCTTAGAAAAAGATTAAGTTTTATTTAAATTACTTCTGATTTTTAAATTCTGTTTTTATTAATTTTTCGTCTTTATTAAAATAAAATAATTTGTTTTCTTTATTCTATATAAAAATCTTATTAAAAAATCTAGTGGTAGAATTAAATCATGATACAAAATTATCTAATGGAATATTATCGACGAGCTTTTAGATTTCTAAGACGAAAGAATGTGATACGCACGGAACTCAGATAATCAATTATTCATTCATTAGGCGTAGCCTAATCCACACGTTCCAAGACCCGCCTCGTAAAAAAACTTTCTTTTTCTTTATTTAGAAAGTGACGATGTAATCAGCATACTACACGGTGCCAATGTCTAGGTCGTGACTGTGGTCGCCGAGGTCACCGTCACGACTGACACTAATTTCGTAACTTTCACTCCGGGAATGAGCGAAAGATCTCCGGCTCTTCCCAGTAAACTCTGGCGTTCAAAGATATTCATAAAGATTATAGCCTATTGTCTATTGCCTATCTGATTTGCTTCATCTTCTAATTACGGTTTTTCGCAGGAAGCATTCATCGACGATTCAATGGAAAAGGCTATTACTTCTCATGGGCTGATCAGAGGACAGCTGGACAGGAGGTAGATTGGCTGTCAGGTAGAAACTTCTGCCGACAACGTTGTATGGACCTGGTTTCGTTGGAAACTTCCGCCGAGAACGAGTTCATCAAGAGCCACATCATTCAAGGTATGCATGATTCTGCAAGTTGAGCCTGTATTTGTGGAAGCAAAAACAAAGGATGACGAAATGAAACGTTTCTCTTGTAGACAAGGTAAAGTATATCTGGACCTCCGGTCGCCTATGTGATTTCAATGGTTGTAACCGAGAAGATCTACAGCCCCTTCGCATCAACGGCTGGTTCTGGACCGCCGAGTTGCAGAAGCTTGCACCAACTAACGAACGTAGCCAAAACGACTGGTCTGAGAGTGGCGGGTAAGACTTATTATTCGCAGTATAACGCATTCTTATAGCATATACCAACCTGTAATTTTATATGTGAAAATAACGCCTATTAGAATGCTTATATCAAGATGAGAGCCAAGAGAGTACAAATGCTACTTTCATTATTGAGATCAAGGATATCAAACGGTTGTGATTAGATCTTTTTCTATTCAGCATAAATCCCTGTTATTATCTGTTCTGTAATCAATGATCTCTGTATGTACATGCACATCAATACTCGGGGTCTAATATTCAACTTCTTCAAGTATATACGACACAAAATAGCAAAAGCAATAATAATGTGTGCATCTTGCAAGAATTATTTTGGATAATATGTACGTTTTTAGCATCCGCAAACCGCAACCTGATAATCGTGAGGCTATTCAGGGCGGCGCTCCTGAAAATTGCCTTGCAATTCTCAATCAATTCTACAACGATGGAGTGAACTGGCACGACGTGGCATGTCATCACAAGAAACCATGGGTCTGCGAGGATAACGAGTCTCTTCTGAGATATGTTCGCTTCATCAATCCTAATATTCGTGTATAATGGACAAAAAAACTGAGCAATGATAACTTTATATTGGTTTGAGTAGGTTTAAGCATACCTATAAAATTACAACGTTTAAAAGCACATCTATGCGACACGCTAGTGAAGCGACTGAATAGTATATAGAATATCTTATTTATTGTATTTAATACTTCCATACTCTCATTTGCCCAAAAAGTATGAATTATTTAATGGAAATTTTATGAATGTTAACTTCAGAAAATATCACTATTTATATTCCTAGATATAATCATAGATACACATGGAAAATTATATTTAATAGAGAGACTGCAGTCCAAGATTTATAGATTAGTTTACTTTATATAAAAAATTATATATTTTCCTAAAATATTATACTAATTATACATTCATATAGCAATAAATTTATGAATAACAAATAATTTAACGAATTTATTTATTATTAAAAAACATCATTTTACTTAATACGTATCAATTTATGTCAAGTATTTTATCAGGTTAAATTACCCTGATTTTCTTCATGTAAAAACTCAAGATATACAAAACATGTTTATCAATACAATAAATATCACAGATGTTTAAAAAATCAATACCTAAATGATATAATATATATTTACTCCATCAAGTATGTAACAAGACAAGGTATTCGCAAAAGAGTTTAAAAAACTTTTGACAATTATTTTTGATTACTTTTTACCTTCCACCATTATGATGTGATACCCGAATTTCGTTTTTACCGGTGGATCCGTATAAACCGGAGACCCCAGACTAGAAACTGGTAACGCAAAGGCAGCGTCTTGAAAGGGTCCCACCATGGAACCTCGCGTCATCCAACCAAGATCACCCTTTAGAGTAACAAACAAAATGGAAGATTTGTAATACATTTCTTCTCCAATTATTCATATATCAAGAGAATGTAAATATATTCTTTGCATTACCCCAGATCTAGCTTTGTCCTCGCTGTATGTTGCAGCAACCTCATTGAATTTCTGACCAGCCTTCAGCTTCTCCAACGCCTCCAATATCTTGGACTGCTTCTCGCACAAGATATGTCTAACCTATGCCCAGGGAAATAATTATATGAAGTAAATGACACAACAGTCAATAATAAAAGTCTATTTGTATACAACATTTGTAACTGGAGTAATCAATCATTGAAAGACGTACGGTTTACGTGCGACATACACGTCGCTATCAGATAAATTCCAAATATGTCAAAATACATATCCTCACCTTCACCGAGGTCCCTCCTTTCTTCTCTGTCTTCCCGCCGCTGCTCTCCTCCGAGGATTTTCCCTTGTTAGATTTCGCGGCACCGGCGTTCTTCTTCGGCGGCATGATCGCGTGCTATCGATGTAACTTCGAGTTACGTCAGTCAGTCCAAGCCGTCAACGGGAAACAGCTGGAAATAGCATGTTTGAAGATTCAGTGACAGCTGTAGGTAAATTTTACGAATGGATAATCGGTAATGCCGACTTAACCGATTATCGATGACGAAGTCGCTTGAAACTCAAGCTGTCGAACGTGATTACGTGATATAGAATTCAAGGTCAGGAGATAAAGGAGAATATAAACACGTGTACGATTTTCAATGCACTCCAGTTCAACTCCGGTTTAGGCTGCGATCAACAACGCGACTGTGGTACACTATATAACCTAGATACATTTTGAATCTTATATTTGCTTCCCTTTTTATTTCACATTTGTATTTTGCTTTAAGCTTGGCGTTCTGTGATAAAGCGTGCTTTTGTATCCAGCAAGAACCGGCATATTTTTATAGATTAATCTCGATACTAATTAACGCTGATAATAGTGGTAAGTAAATTGAAGTCATTAGGCCTGTTCTTTTTGACTGAACTTTTGCACCAGTTCATCTTTCTTCCTCTTTTTACCTCCTAGAGAGAAAAGGAAAAAAGATGAACTGGTGCAAAAGTTCAGCCAAAAAGAACAGGCCTATTGTCTATCATTTAAATTAAATAGTCACGAAATGGTAGAGTTTGCTCGGTTTTTTCCGTAGTCGATTTGCTATCATGTTTTGTAGCAAATTTTGTTATTTCTGCTGACAAAGTATCTAACGACAAAGTTTGTAACAGACTTTGCAAAATCTGTTTTCGTCAGATTCGGCTATCTGGGTTATCACATTTTCTTCTATGGTTTTATCTCTAGAATATTCTTGAACTTGAATTTAATTGTGCAAGAAAAACAAGAAAAAAATTGCAAAAGAAGTAACTTTACTGCCTTGTTGATGTTTGTGTCTCGCTGTTAAGTTATTAATCAATTTTTAAAACTTAATATAGAGATAACACATAAGCTTTAAGATATCTCTTAAAGTATTTAAAATATATGTAAATACATATTTAAATATGTAAGATATACATATATTTAAATATTGAAGATATTTAAATATCCAAGATGTATTTATAAATTTAAGATACTCTTTAAGTATTTGAGAGATATATAGTTTATACAAAGTATTAAAAAAATCATTCAGCATTTATATGATTATAGTACATACAATACTGAGTAAAACAATCTTAGTGAACATAGATCGAAAGTTTGATCGTTTCTGAAATATAAACTTTTTTTATATGTTAACATCACAGATGACTTACTAGTTTCTACAGTATCCTTATTTAATTCCTATATTTCGTAACAGAAGATTTCACCAGCAATAAATCATTTGTTATCAACTGGCAAATCTACATACTATTTGATGATTACGCAGTTATAACTGATTTCCTGTGAAATCTTTTGTTATGAAGTATTTATGGAAATTGAATGAGGACATTTAATTAGAATATTGTTTATAAATACTTGAGATAAATATCGCATGAGACATGTAGAAGCCATTAAAAAGTCATTCATTATGCTAACATATAAAAAAAATTGTTTATATCTCAAAAACTGTAAGCTCAGGTTGAGCTTTCGACCTGTTCACTTTTTATATTCATTGTGTGTACTATACATATATTTACCATATATAAATAAATGATTTTTTAAATATCCTTTATATTATTATAATTTATTACAGCTTGAATTTTTACTTGATTGATAAACAAAGGAAAAGACTGCTATATAATGGAACTGATACAACCAAACCGACCGTCTAAGTGTACATATGAAGTGAATGGAAAAAATTCGCCACATACGAAACAAACAGAGTAAGTTTGTCATAACTGAAAGCTTTACAAAAAATTTTATTATCTTATCCATATAATTTACATATCTTTTCGCAATTGCACGATATACATTACAGCCTTGTGCTAATTTTAACAGATGAAAAATTTCACCATATGCTTTGAGATATCAGTTTATCAGTAGACCACATGAATATGTGTCATTATAATTACTATATTGTCACGAAACAAGAAGAGAATATTATAAAACTTGTCATGAATATTGTCATAAACTGTAATGTGGACTGTGCAAATAAACATGACTCTGATAGATAATTATTGTAAGATATTAATATAACAGATATAATAATAGCATGTTTGCGTTATTTTCTAGATTTCCAAATCGTAAAAAAATATTACCAAACATTTTAAGTACAATTGGCCAAACACCTCTCGTTCGGCTTAATAACATTCCTAAGGTTCATGGGATCAAATGTAAAATGTGTTAGTACAAATTTGATATTATATTAATTATATATGTATATTTTATAAAATAGAAATTTTCTTTAATAAGAAAAATCTGATCGGAAAATTTTACTGTGTTATACAGATGCTAAATGTGAATTCTTTAATCCCGGAGGATCTGTCAAAGACAGAATAGCGGAGAGAATGATCTCGGATGCAGAAGAAAAGGGTTTAATAAAGCCGGGCTATACAATTATTGAACCTACCAGCGGTAACACTGGAATCGGTCTAGCCATGGCCGCAGCGGTCAAGGGCTATAAATGCATCATCGTGATGCCAGAGAAAATGTCTAATGAAAAAGTCTATGTGCTTCGCGCTTTGGGTGCAGACATAGTTAGAACACCGACCGAGGCTTCTTGGGATAGTCCAGAAGCGCATATCAGTGTTGCTCAAAAATTGCAAAAGGAAATACCCAATAGTATTATTCTAGATCAGTATACAAATCCTGGTAATCCATTGGCGCACTATGATCAAACTGCAACAGAAATTTGGGAGCAATGCGACGGCAATATAGATTATGTGGTACTTGGTGCTGGGACTGGTGGCACCATATCCGGAATTGGGCGAAAATTGAAGGAATTGTCGCCTAACATAAAAATTATCGGAGTAGATCCAGAAGGCAGTATATTAGCGGAACCACCTGAATTGAATAAAAACGCCGTTGATTTCTACGAAGTGGAAGGAATTGGATATGACTTCATTCCTACCGTTTTAGATCGTAAAGTGGTGGATAAGTGGGAAAAAACTGTAGACGCCGAATCTTTAAAAGCGGCGCGAGAATTAATTAGGCAAGAAGGATTGTTATGCGGCGGTAGCAGCGGTGCGGCACTCGCGGCGGCGTTAAAAGTCGCTAAAGACTTGCCTGCGGATAAACATTTGGTCGTTCTCTTACCAGACAGTATAAGAAATTACATGACTAAATTCGTGTCAGATGAATGGATGGAAGTTAGAGACTTTTTGGTAAAATTATAAATTATACATTTAAAATATCGTAAATTTATATTACAAATATTAAATATTTATTAAATTACAATTTACTTTCAGGTGTCCGAACCTTTAACGGAAGCGAATAAAAGGTGGTGGAACTTACCAGTATCAAAGTTATCACTTAAAAAGCATATATTATTAAGAGGGATGTCATGTCAAAATGTTGTGGATTTTTTTAAAGCCTCTAATCGCATTCAGCAATTGTTAGTAACTGATGCGAAGGAAACAAAAGTGTTAGGTGTTATCACATTAGATGCCCTTCTATCTCATTTAATATCCGGTACGGTGAATGGAACTGATTTTGCTGAGAAAATCATGAATAAACAGTTTACGAAGGTTACAGCCTCTACGATAATCGGTAAAGTGTCGCGTATTCTTGAAAAAGAATCTTATGCTGTGGTTGTAGACGATCATGATGCTTTAATTGGACTTGTAAGTCGAAGCGAAATTTTTGATTTTATCACTAAGGATGACGACAGCAACGCGAAATAATGGCATAGCATAAAATCCGTTTCATGTTGTATGTGATTGAGATTGTCATCTGTGTTGTGTGTGTTCAGATAATTAAGATTAATTACATCATGAAGTTTCTTCCTTTTTAATATTGTATTTGATACTATATAATCTTATATTCGTATAAATTGGAAATTATTTATACATGATACATAATGAATTGTCAATATGGAATTTATACATCTATT